TTTAATGACTTGAGTTAGGGTAGAGAAATCAGATTTGCGTCTGCAACCAAGTAATACAACTGAGCACAATGAAAAATAAAAAAAACAATAACGATAAGAAAACTTATCCAAATACTAATACAATACTAACACAAAAATATTCATTACACTGTTACGTCTTATTTGGTTGAATTCACACCCGATATTTCACACATCCTGAAAGATTATCTTTTCCAGAGATTGATGATTGAGTTGACATAATGCATTGTCTTATATACTGGCTGGAGAGTTTTCCATTAAAATATCATTATCGTGTTAAATCACCTGGTGCAGTTCCCACTAATTTCCTAAATTAAAGTTAAGTATTACAGAATGTTGACCGGGCAAAAAAGGATCAGTTACGTTTTTTCCTCTATGGAGAAGTTTTAGTTAAGAGAACGAAAGTTTTGTTTACGTTTCCGGGTGAGAAAGCCTTCTTTTGGATATTTGAACAAAACAAATTTCAATATATGACGCAAAAGTCTGCAAGTCAACAAAGCCACAATATTTCAAGCTAAGTTTTTTTGCCAAGCGTTGTCCGTCGCCATGAAGGTGTTTAGCCATCAAATCATGACACATATACGCTGAGAATGAATTTAAAATAATTACTTCCGGAAGTTGGTCAAAATCAGCGAAAAAGAACAACAACAACGAAAACATCAAATGAAAGATCTCTCTTTTTCATTTCATTTGATATCATTTGTTTTTCCTTTTGAATTCAGTCAGTACATTGAAATGAGGTTATTCCTGTCACCTTGTATCTATCTTTATCCCCCAGCTTCCCCATATATTGTCACGCTGACGTCATCGCACTTTTAGCTTTGTAGATAACATTTCATTTTTAGATGGGATGTGGGCTGCAAAGCTTCCTGCAAGCAATGGAGCGCTAAGTTGACAGTTTCTGATAACTTCCACTGCCAAGGGTGATTGCAATGTTACCTTGGTGACGGATGGATGGTTAACGAAGAATAATATACAACAGCACTTTGGAGAGGAAATCTGCCACAGCCAGGGACAAGAGCAACAGGTTTGATGGATTGTTGCGCAGATTCTTATCGGTGAGTATGGCGTAACAGACCATGAGATTTCCTATGATTGCCACAGCTGCCGTGACAGCAATGTAAAAAACGGCTACTGGATACGTAAAGGAGGGTTTAAAACTGAAGGAAGTTTCCCAATCATGAGTGAAATTCGAAGTTATGTTCATCGTAACTTTTGTGTCTTTTTCTGGTGTAGAGAAAAAACTCTCGTAATCTGCTTAGCTTCTACTCTTAAAATGCGGTCTTCGTTAATCCGCACGTAACTCTGCAGACTGAAATGCGAAAATAAACGACTAAAGGCTAATCAGCTTCGGCTGGAATGTATCTATATTAGTCAGGTGAAATATCCTGACACGTTTTGCGTTGTAATCAACATTTGTGGGCGACTTGTGCGATACTCAGTATTTTTCCGCCTCTTTCTTTTCCCCAATCAGTTTGAATTTGTGTATCATCCGCTGTTGTCTTTGCAACCTTAAAGCTTTTGCATAACACCCTTGGTTTTTTAACGAAAACAAAATTTTCTCACTTGACTTTTGTTTCGTGTTCTTTTTGTGGAAAATTGCTAAGTAAGTGACATCATTTGATCTTGTTTTCTACTTGGAATGAAAAAAATTCAAGTCTAGTTACGAAACATTTTCATTTGCAGTTATATTTGCATATTGGGAGGGATTCCTTAAGTTTGTTTCATACATACGTCCTTTTTTAAGGGTTTGGTCGTTTATTACTTCTGAGGGGAGAGGACGAATGAAGTTTCTAAATTTATGCAGAGGTTAAACCAGTTGATAAGAGATAAAACAAAACTGAACGGGCAATTATTTCTCAGTTGTGCGCCTTCTTCTCACTCATTTCCTCTCTAGCATCTGTGAGGGAGACTGACATTTCTCGTTGAGCCTTTGCAGCAACTGAATCTAGCATCTTTGTGGTATGTCATCACCTCGAGTGCGTAAATGTTTGTGACGACAAGGACAAATCAAGATTTTTTTAAGTCAAAATGTTCTTTTATTGTCATATAAGACAGGGGATATACACACAGGGGAAGTAGCTCACAACTGAAGTCCCGGAAAAAATGTTTCACATTAGAAAAAGAGATTTACTGAAATAGTGCTATGTAAAAATTTCTTACGAAGCCTTCTCATACGATGGTACAGTTTCTTCTCTATGCCAGTCTTAAAGTATATCAATCTACTAAAAAAAGAAATATGTTTCCTGAATGGCCAATGGCAAATGTATAAATTATTTATAAAGTAAAATGCCGATGATCCACATCTTAAAGATACCTAGAATCACTGCTGCAAGTTCAAGATAATGTTTTGCCATCGTTTCTAAGGCTTTCTTCAACGTTTTTCAAATCAATGACACACATCCGACACGAAAACGTGAGCCACGGTGGGCCAAGTCTTTTACTGGCTGCGTATTTCTAAATCAAATAGAGTTGTCACTCTTCACCCTTCATATGTATATCTATATGCATCTAAATTGCCTCACTGATTGCTTATTGGAACTGCTTCTTTATTGCGCATGATGCTAGAATTCAATTTTCGAAGGACGATACGGATCGGAGTCGGACACCGTTTTCTAGTTCTGGAATCTCGGAAGTGACAGTGCTTTGTGAAAACGTGGAAAGCCGGCGCAAAGATAAAGCAGGCTCGGCTGGTTTTAAAGCAGGTTTAAGCGAAGTAAACAGATTTCTAAACGTAGCCTTAAAACGACTGTTGCTGAAGGCGTACAAAAAGGGATTAAGCGCTGAATAAAGGTAGCCCAACCGCAACAACGACATGTAAACTTTGCAAGGAAACGACTCTTTCCCTAGAATGGTTTCGACGATGATGAAATAACAGTAAGGCTGCCAACAGAAGAAAAGCGCCAACAGGAAGGTGGCAGTCGTCTTAGCAGCTTTGAAATACATCCTTTTTTCTTCTTTAGTAGGTTCCCGGATGGAGGGAAAGACATCTCGTTTGGTAAATCGATTGTTTTTGACAGCAATACTGTAAATCAAGATGTAGAGAATGCATGTGATCATTAGCGGAAAAATGATATTGAAAAAAGAGCTGAGAATGTTGTATTCTTTAGTATAGGGCAGCATGCAGTTGTCTTTATCATCTGGCTCTCCCTTTTCTCTCCAACCCATGAAGACAAAAAGTGCCCATAAAATGCTGTAAAGCCAGATTACCATGATGACTAGTGAGGCTCTTTTTGAGTCATGAATTGTGAGGTCTTAAACCGAGCCAAAGGATCTCTGAGGGTCTTGTATCGATCCACGCTGATGGCCAAGAGGCTGAAAACCGAAATGGGTATGGTAATAAGGTACACAACTTGCCAAATTATACAGAATGCTTCTCCATGATACCATATAAAATCAATCCTGAAAAGTAACTCAATGTCAAACGGCATCACTATGATTGCTGCAAGAAAATCCGAGAGAGCGAGGGACAGAATGAAGAGATCCGTGGGATTATTGCGGAGATGTTTATTGGCAAGTATTGCGAGACAGACCAACAAGTTTCCAAATACCGCTACAGATGTAATTGCTGTTGCGCAGGCCGAAACGGGATACGAAAACGTTTGTTCGAAAATGCACGGAGTGTACTCGTCGTGAGGTAAGTTAACAGCGGAGTTATTGTTCATCTTCACTTGACGGTTCCAACGCTTAGGCTTTCTTGGGGAATTGGAACAAACTTCTCGTGCAGCCAGTCAGTGGTTTTGTGATAACACAGCCTCACGAGGTTCTTATGCAACGACGTTTCCTTTTTGGATTTTGGATTACTTTAAACAATTTGACACCAGTGATGGAAACAAGCTAAATATTTGAAGCATCAATAATATATCCAATAATATTGGTCTGTTCAACCGCGATAATTGAGTTTTGGCAGAGTTCAATACTTTTGTTATCATTTTTAGTAACGTCTCGATATCCGTTTGGAGTGACATTGGATGAGTAACTGACACTATTATCGGTGAAACATGTACAGCTGTTATCTAACTTACTCGGTGGGAAACGTGACAGCTGCTGTATACAAAAAAGGACTGAACTTTAAGCTGTAATCACGTGAATAGGTCATTCAAATCCGATCTTGGCGTATTCACAAGCGTGTTCTTAATTTACCTCGGCGTTTACCTTGGCATTATTGAGCGATTACACAATTCAATCACAAAAACACTTGAAAAGTTGTCAAAGAAAATGCTTGTCCTTAAATAACAGTTCGTATCCGGAGAAATCTTAAGCACAATATAAGCATCACATTTGCAAGTACATGATTAAGTATCGCGTTTTTTTTTTTTCCAGAGCTAAGGAGAGATGTTTTTTAAATATTTTTAAAGATTAAAGTTGTAGTGAAATCGCTTTGGTGCGCTTTCCCTTTATTAGGTATTGGCTGGAGATCGTTTCCATCAAAATGGCATAATCGTGTCGGTGTTTTTCTCTCGCTCACTATAGAGAGGAGACATGTCGGTAAAATGGCAGCTGTAGAAATCCACAACAATTTATCATTTGGGTTGCTTGATTGCCAGATTTACCTTTTTCTCGAAAGCGTGTCTGGTCAGAAAGCTGCGGCTTCAGGTGAGGTTTTTTTTACCTATAGAGTTGATTCCTGCCTCTCTTCGCTCCGTCATCATTCCTCTTTTTTTAGCATCGCGCAGAATGCCTATTGTTATCCTGTTCTCACGACATTAACTTACAGTAGAAAAACAATTATAGATCTGTAATATTAACAGCAAAGCATAATCTGGCGAGCTATGATTGGTCAAAGATTACGAAAGCAATCATATTGATATGCCGTTAATTTTAGAATCTGCTTTTTTTGTGATATAAACTCATGGTGAGGAAAGGAAGTCGGAAAATAAACAAAGCCACAGCAATATTTCCTGTCAAGCTGTTCCCTTCTTTGAAAAGTGTTTGCCCAGAAGGCCGGAGCTTTTGACTCGTTCGATGACTGATACTCGTGCGCTTAGAATATTGACAAATCGTTCAAAATCAGGGGGAAAAGGACGCCGAAATGAAATTCGAGATACCATTCTTTCTTCAAAAACAAATTAAACACCTCCTTCTTAGTTTGCTTTCATCATTTAAATAAATATATCGCAGTTGAGTGGGAAAGCTAGTTTACTAAACTAGCTCTTTCAATCAAGTATTTACCTTGTAGGCCAAAGAAACGCTCTTTGTCGTTAGTTGATTAAACCCGCCCTGACTCTCTCCTAAGGCAACTGTGTCCTCATTACAAAGCCTTGGGCTTGCACTTATTGGCTACAAAAACCGCATACAACACATACTGTGGGCTTTGCTAGAAATTCGCAGGTTGACCGTCGTTGAGGATAGGGTTGCATAGAGATGGTTGCGCTCTGATTGGTCGTGGATTACGTCATATCTTGCGATAGTCATCCAGAGCAAGTTGGTCAGTTAATAATGAGGCACATATTTTCAAAATAGGCACTGCGTGATCCGCTGATTTTTACATGGCGGGGAAAATTAAATGCATTTGATCATACTTATTAGTCTAAGACAAAAATTCGCCATCGCGAATGTGCCTACAAGTGCTTCAAATATTTTGGTTAAACACGTGTTTCCTTGAACTGGAACGGCTTTGAGATTAGCAGTCAGTGCGTTCGAAAAGCATTATACATAAGTTTGTAGTATATTGAAACAACGTACACTCTTCTGGGGATTTTCGGATTCTCGTGGGATTGTTAAAGTCAGAGAAAAAGGCCTGACTGACCACACAAAGGAAAAAGAGGCCATGAAAATTAACCTCATCATGACACTCTTACAACTACGGCATTAACCTTCTAAAATGGGGTTAGTAAGCTTTCGCGACTCTCCAGTACGTGTTTTAGCCTTTCCGAAGTTTGGCTCTTGTGTATTACTTTGAGTGATCTCCCTCTTTTGGAGGAAATGAGGGGCGAATCTTGTATATTTCGCTCAGCAATTGTTGTGCTATTAAATGCCAGTTTTTTATTTTATTTTATTTATGACGATTAATTTTAGTCTAGGCACTGACGGTTGATAATGTGGGAAATACTAAGGAAGTCATGAATTAACAAGCTGTATGTTTCTGTAATGTTCATATAAATCACAAACATTACTAGAAATTACCTGATTAGAGAACTGTTCTTCCTCCTAATCTTACATCACGACGAGGCTTTTGCGGAGAGAGCGGAATGGCAGTCACTGACATTAAGGCCTGCCTCCTCAAGAGCCTTTTTGTACCTATATTTCCACTACTCTGGTGTCAGACCCCTTGGTTAAGTAAATCAGTGTTTATATATCCGTTTTTTTGAAGGCATCAACGCTGAATAATTGGAGAGTAAACACATGACGAAGGACCAAATTTACCATAATTTTGAGTTTTACTAGGAGAAGCGGGTAGACACTGAACTCTCCTTAGGGAAGATAAATAAGGGATAATTCAATATACATATTGTTGTTTACTTTTTTCAATATTTCATTTTTACTAAATTTGACTTTCCGAACTTCTATGATTCGAAAAATCTCCTTTGGTATAAGCGGGCGTTTTTCTAACGTCACATAAAAGGGAATAAATAGATAAAAGAAACTTGTGCCCTTATTATAAAAAAGAGCTGGTATTAAAATACCTTGAAAACATCGTCTCACTTTACCTCGTGGATAAGAAACAATTTCCATTTGAATCACGTTACATGGTATATCCACCAAATGTAATATTTTTGTCAAATACAGGTAGCAATCTACAAAAGGGTAGGCCGATATAAACGAATCTTTTGAGGTTCCCGCTTGGATTACATCACGGTCAAATTTACTCCGTTCAAGCAAACTGGTTGCCCATAGATATAATTTTCTTTTAAGGAGAATGATGTGTTAGTGGCATCCCACTTTTTTAAATGGAACATTCGAGAATGCTTAACACGGACAACAAGAGTGAGTATCTTGTGCAAGTGCTCCTCAAACTGAAATGCTTTTACAGTGTAAAGTACCGAATATTGAGATAAATAGAAAGTTTTCCTTGACAACGAAATGGTTTCTTAACTCTATATTGGAACGCAGATCGTTCCCCTAGCGACACAAAAAACGTTTACAGTTTCTAGAAATGAGTGTGCAAATACTGTGCTATTTTTACAACTTAACCCTTATCTTTATATATTATTTTCCCGTCAGCAGAGTCTTGAAGATCTCTAAAGATTGGCTGAAATGCGCTACATTAATAAGTAAAAAAAAAAGCTGGTCAAAATATAATTCATTTCCAATTTCAATCCTTCTTTCGTTTACGATACATATGATGAATTCTGAAGCAAAATAGCAAAGAAATTCCAAGTGATTCTCTCTGTTTCAACATATGTTTTATATCACTCACAGTCACAATTCACTGCTCAAGGTCAATCCTACTAAACTCAATCAAATGAGCTCTTTCACCACTATGGAGTGTAAATATCTGACGAAAATTTTGTTTAAGGATGCAACGAAAATTTCATTTCGGCTATGATGGCAGAACGACAATCTAGCTTATAACTTCATCTTTTGGTAAAGGCTTCTTGAACAAATCAACATCGCCAGATGAAACCACTGATTTCCGTTTTTCCTATTTCAACAACACTTGAAGGAAATATTGCAACTCATAAATTGTTTCAATGACAAAAAATAACCATGAAACGTCAAGACTACTCCCCAATTATCTTGTGAATTACTTTCGTGCAATTGCTGTCCATGAAACAAAACTCGAGGAAGTCTTTTCGAGAGAATTCAACCGTTTGTAGCTGTCGTTTGTACTCTCACTTGACCCTTTACTCAATAATTCGCTTTGTATTCAAGATTGGGTTTTAACGATATTACTTCATCTTGTCTGTGCAATGACGCTAGTCACCAAAATCAGAACCCGTATCATACATTAAGGCCGTTGGTAAAATAATCAGTTTCAGTTTCCCGTAAACAAGGTTTACGAATTAACAATTGGTACATATGTCAGCGTTCGTTCATCGAGATATGAAGCACGCGGGAAGTTTGGAGAGCACGAAAGATGCCAAACTACCCGCTTGCTTCATATCTCGCCGAACGCACAGCTGACGTATGAACCAATTGTTTTATAACATTTCAATTTTTTTTTCTCAAAGGGATTTGTTTGCTGACGTCATGAGCTTGCCCAATAGGAATATGAAGCACGCTCACGCAATTGAATTTGATTAGACAAATTTACTAGCTATGCTATAAATGCTTTTAGCAACTTAGTAAATTTTTACAGGAAATATCATAAATCGTGTGTAGCCATTATCTTTTCAGATCTCTTAAACACTGCTATTAATCAATTAGAATTTTTTTCCTCAAAATCCGTATTTGTCCAAGATTCCTGAAGTTCTATTTCTAAACACCCAGGGGTGGTGATGATAAAATTAAATTGCCGAACACTATATCTTAAACAAATATTGAGCTTTAGTTGTAGAAAAACAACAGTAACTCAAAATACGCCGGAGATATTTGTCCACCGATTAATGTGTGATTCGGGGGTGACCATGTAAAGATGAATTAGATGCTAGTCTAGAAGGATTAAACCATCAAAATTTGAGGCCATTCGTCCACACTAGAGACTATAGCGTGAACTTTCAATTTCTCAATTAGTTTTAGGAAATCCTTATTTCAAATTTCCTTTCCTTTCCTAACTGTAAGG